TGTGCGTATTATTACAGTGCTTTTGGGTGCTTCTTTAAATTACTCCTTTCCATTTTTATTTGCATTTTTATTTTTTTATTTTATTCTTTTGTACCTTATAGTTTTTAGTTGCATTTTGGCGATTATAGCAGCTTTTGCTTTTGTTTTACAGCTGTGAAGAACTTAAATTGAGGTTGCTAAGTGAAGGGCGGGCAGTATAATTCAGGTTTTTGCCTTTCTCTCCATTGTCTTTACAAGATGATATGGCTTTTCAGCTTTAAATTGTCCTCAATTGTTTCTGTATATATTAAAAAACAAGCATTATCAAAAATTATAGAAATAAATATTCTATTTGCAGTAGAGCCTTGGCAGGCATAGTCAACCACTTGTCAAGTGTAATAATGATTGGCAGGAATATTCTGGAAAAGAACAGTCCATAGAAAATCATATTTTCCAAAATAGTGAAGAAATATCGACTAATCTACTCTCGATCATAATTTTTAAAGTTTCTGTTTTATATTCTTATGAAGCAGTGTCCCGTTCTAGAGTGTTAATGTGACTTCTTTCAGTCTTAACTTCGTGAAATCTGCTTGGTTTTGCGTCAAGTTAGGTAGCAGTGTGTATGAGGCGAAAGCTATAATAATTCGTTCTTCAACTCAATGAGTATTTGGGTGTACATTGAGTACAAAGCTCATCTGCCATGTAGTTATGCTCATTGTTATGGGAACCCAAACGATAAAGAGTGTGTTCTGTTTAACCATCTTCGTTGGAGATCTGCAGCGGTCCAGCAGGATTTTAGATTATATGGGGACATGCCCAGAACTTGTATTGCTGCTTGCTTGAAATTCCTAAATTTTTCCAAACTTTTTGTTTCTTTACTGCTCAAAAACAGTTGCTGATAGTTGAAGCCTATGGGTGATTATTAACATTTCAACCATCTTAGGCAGCTTTTCAGGCTTCGGGTAGGATATTGTTGAAAGCTCTCTCTGTGTAAATTAGGCCAAATAGAAAGAAATCCTTCGAATATAATAATATCAAGATAAACGAAATAAACAAGACATAGAGATTACCACAGATCTCGGTATAATCTTTTATACAACAAACTATGCGAAATTCCGAAAGAGAAGTTGAGGAAAGCTATATTTGTACTTTCCGGCTGTGAAATTCTTACTCTCAGGCATCACAGTTTGGTGAACGGCACTCGAAAATACTATTATCTGTAGCAAACCAGAGAGTGTCCATCAACCTAATTTTCTACCTCTAGATCTGGATGGCAAACTTCTAATAAACTGCCAATGCCAACCTTTCGCCCGAATTCCGGAAAAGTTGGGTTGTACAAAGATGGGGCTTAGACAAACCCTTTTCCAAAACAACCCTATGAACAAGAACGAATGGGAAAATACCTTTCTACTGTGGCATTGAGTATCTTGATTGGAGATTCGTGGCCACATTTGCCGACGGCTCAAAAACTCGATTATATAGTAGATTGTGAAGTCTAGTGAAAGATGTTTCAGCAAAATATAAGTAAGGGAGTATTAGAACAATCCAAACAGTACTTATTGCCATCCCGGAAGGTCGACTGGTTGCTAAAATCTAAGGTCACAAGACAATCAATAATGACATAATCGGTCAATAGATCTTTACAGGTCATCGTACGTCAAAAGTTTCGATAAAATATTGAGAAAAAGATGTGGAAACAAGTGTAATACTGCAAAGATCTACCAAAGAATACAGAGACATCTGTGAGGCAATCAAACTGACGAGATGGGTTGAATGAGAACATGCGCCTAGACATGTTAGGCAGATATGGCTGGCGTTGGGGCCGAGTTCATTGGGAAACAGATTTTTGATTATCTTGCTGAGCCAGCTCCAACATCAGCAATATCGTAACTTTATGCTTCCACCACAACTCTCTCCCCTCTGCACACAATCTTTTTGAGCAACCTTATCAAAAAAATGCAGCGCCCAAGTGTTTTCATTTTCTCACGCCAACGAAAATTTCTCCCTTCAATGAAAAGTAAACTTAAAATTTTTTTCCTTATTGGGAAAATCATTTTTAATTACTTTTTTCATTACAAACACGCATAGCAATTGCTTAAAAGCGCAACATCAGTTTAATGTGGTCTTGGAAAGTACCGTTAAACACAAAGAAAAACGAAATAATATATTTTCTTTCACATACTAAATGCATAAATTAACCAAATATTTGCAAGCAATCCGAATGCCTCACTGCCGAACATGAGAGAATATTTTGACGTTAAACAGTGGCTGCATCAGTAAAAATTAAAAAAATAAATAAAATAAAATGAATTGGTAAATGGAGCAGAGCTGCGTGAAGACACTTGCACTGTGGAAAAATATCATTAGTTATGCGCGCAGACGTAAATGCAGGGCACAGCTCGCCCACTTTGAAATGCCAAAGGGGCAAAGGTAAATATAACTGGAATTGCAGTTTTTTGTTTTTTCATCCATTTTCTGCTTGAAATTCACTATATTTTTTTTTTCTCTGCTCATTTGCACTCACTCACAGTCGCACTTCGCGGTTAAATGCAACAAATTTAGTGTGTGAATTGCTTGAGGTGAGTAAATATGTATGTATATGTATGTTGTGGGGTGTGTTTGTGTCTCTGCGTTTCTTCGCCTGCACAGGTAAGCCATGCTTTGTTGAGATTGTACATAATTTTCTAATTTTTTTATGGTAATATGTTACTTTTTTATTGTATATGGTGCGCCACCACCGGCAAATGCCGACACAGCTGGCTTAACTACAAAAACATATACCGTTGTATGATAAAATAAAAAACCAAATGCCACAACAAATGATCAAGAAACAGAAGTTTGCAACGATGATATAATAAACTGGCCATAAACAGCCGGACGAGAAGGTGAGCAGTGAGCACTAACATGCGCTGGTTGAGCATGAGTATCGGTTATGCAGTTACCGAACAGAGAGCGCAACCGAACGAGTATGGCAGAGAGTTGTGCGTAGCGTATGAGTTTCACAGAGCAAGCCTGTACACGTGTGAGTGGGCACTGAGCGGCTTTGGCCGAACAGCTGTTTTTTTTTGAGACGGGCTTGATCAACTGTTGGCGCTTACCTGGTCAGTTAGCCGTTCCTCTTACACTCTTTTTCTCCATCAGCGGTTTCAATTGTTTATTTTTGTGTTAATAAGCTCAGTGTATGCCGCTCTTGTTTGCATGTTATACGGTTGGTTCAGTTTTGTTTTGTACATACATGTGTACATATATATATTACTAAATATGTTGTCTCGGGCCACCAAAAAACAGCAAGTCCGACTGCGGCGTTGGCAGCGAGTTTTAATGCCGCGTTTTGGTTGAATTTGAGTTTAGTTTACAATTTAGCGGCGCGAGTGTTAGACGTTGAAGTAAATTCAAACGAATTTTTATGAAATTTTAGGCGGAAATTTTTAAAACTAAATTGAAAAAATTGGAAAAAATAGGTGATTATAAAAAAGTTTTATAAATGAAATAAAACAGATTTTTTTAAATAAAATAAGTAAGATTATTTTTTTTGGTCGAAAAAAGTATCTTTAAATCAAACTTTAATGTATGAAAAATAAAACAAAAAAAAAAAAAAAAAAAAAAAAAATCATAATAAAAAATTAAATAAAAGACACAAGTACGAAATAATAATACATAAAAGTAAAAATAGGTCAAAAATAAAAATATTTTGTATCTTAAAAGTTAGGAATAAAATTAAAATAAAGTAAAAAATATTTGTTTAAAATACAAATTGTAATTAACTTTGTATTATTATAAAATTTTATATAATTAACAAAAACAATTAGAATGTTGGAAACAAAAATAAAAACCGATATCTTTATTGATACAAAATAAGAACATTCCAGGACCAAATGTTATATACGATAATAAAAATAAATATTTTTCCATGAATTAATTAAAGGGTATCGATAATATAAAATTAAAGAAAGAAATGAAATAAATATTTTAAAAATGTTAAGCATAAAATTAAAAACAATGTAATAAAATTAGTAACCATATCATAAAAAAGTCAAATCAAATAAAGTAATTTTAAATAATGAAAAATAAAATGTTATATAAAATATAATATATTAAAATAAAGTAAACTAAAATGAAATAAAATAAAATAAATTCATATAAAATAAAATAAAATAAAATGAAATAAAATAAAAAAAAAAATAAAATCAAACAAAATAAAATAAAATAACTTCAAATAAAATAAATTTAAAAAAAATTAAATGCAATAAAATAAAATAAATTAAATAAATGAATTGATTAAAATAATATAAAATAAATTAAAAAATAAAATAAAATAAATTAAATAAATAAAATACATTAAGATAAATTAAAGCAAAATTAACTAAATTAAAATAAATGAAATAAAATAAAATATTTTATATATAATAAAATAAAAAAATTAATTAAAATTAAATAAAATTGGATAATTTAAAATAAAATGAACTAATATAAAATAAATTAAAATAAATTAAAAAATATAAATTAAATAAAATTAAATAAATTTGGAATTAATGAAATAAAAGAAAAATATAATAAAATGAAATAAAATAAAGTAGACTTAAATAAATTAAAATAAAATTAAATAAAATAAATTACAATAATATAAAAAAACAGAAATAAATTAAAATAAAATAATATAAAATAAATTCAAATAAAATAAAATAAATTAAAATAAATTGAAATTAAATAAATTTGGAATTAATGATATATATTAAAATGATATATAATAAAGTAAAATAAACTTGAATAAATTAAAATAAAATTAAATAAAATAAATTACAATTAAATAAAAAAAAACATAAATAAATTAAAATAAAATAATATAAAGTAAATTAAAATGAAATGAAATAAATTAAAACTGAATTTCATTAAACAAAATAAATAAAATATTATTACTTATAAAATGAAGTATAATGAGATGAAATGATTAAAACGAAAAAGTAAATTATTTAAATTAAATATAATTATATAAATCAAAGTAAAGTATATTAAAAACAGTGAGTTAAAGTAGAATAAAGTAAAATTAAAATTATACTCTTTCTACAGCACAAGTATTTAATAATTCGCAGCTGTAAAATAGTTTTTTTTCCTAAAAAGTGAAAAAAGTGCTAATTTGTAGGTAACCAAAACTGCAAGATTAGTGAGTTTATGAAATTAGTACGCTAATAAAAAAACTAATCAATATTTTCCAATCACGAAAATCTAATTCGAATTGCATTGACATATAAATTTTTGTGTTGAAACAAAGCTTTCATTTTTAGCGCGCAACGTGCACCAAAAAAAAAAATAGTAAAAAAAGTAATTCACATAAAAAGTTTATAACTCGTAAAAAAAATCAACTGCAAATAGTACTGCATAAAATTTGCCCAACGTCCACGAAATCCATACAACTGCTTCATCGAATCCACTAATCCAATACCAGTGATCGAGTGATCGTGCGGTACACAACAAACAGTAACAGTGCATGCAAGCAGGTGTGAAATAGTTAAGAAAAAACCGTAATTAACCTAAAATTGATGCGGGCAAATTTTTATTGTAAAAAAGTTTTAAAAGAAAAGTTATATTATTTCGTTCGATTTGTGTAAGAAAAGTCTTTAATTACAATACAATTTTGCAATTGCAATTGCAGTTTTTTTTCGTTGCTTTTAGTTGTTGGTGTTTCTAGCTCTTAGCGCAACAGTAAATTTGTTTGTGCATAAAATTTGCACATTTAGCCGCCTTGTTGCACACAAACGCCTCTCGTTTCCCATAAAAAGAAAAACAAATAAATAAATAGTAATAACTACAACAACAAGAATAACAACAATAATACCAACACCAACAACAAACAAATCCACACAAATATGGATGTCGCTTGGCGTTTTCGTATAATGATCTTCACCGCTTTGGCCTTGATGCTGTTTGGCGATTTTTACGGTTATGGCAGTGTTAGAGGCGTACAATCGGATACAAATCAGGCAGCTGCAGCAGCGGCCGCCACAACGGGGCCGGGTAAATTCCAACAGAGCGACGCGGATATTGAAATTGGCGAAGGTGAGTAAGTCGACAGTGTATACGAGTGTGTTAGTGTTTTGAACTCAATTACCGTTCAAATAATTGTATGAAAATTATATGTATACGAATTGGTTATTTATTTAACGTGGCAGGCGATGAAATGCGTTTTACTCTTGAATTTGAAATAATTTATTAAGGTGGACTCTCTTTCCCAAGGAGTATATGTATAGCTAATTTTTATTTTAAATTAAGAGACGATCATCATTAGATCTTCCAAACAATACAACAACATCTAAGACCGATAGAAACAAGTTGAAATCGTCTCTAATGAAGAAAGAGCTTTGGAAATCATCAGAAAGTTCCGTGAGTTGAACAGAAATTCTTCCCTTGACGTCTAGTTCCACATCAGAGTTGCGGCTCTCATTCTTTATTTGTTTGAATTCGTTTCCACTTAATAATATTTTTAAAAGCCTCAAAGTTCTTCGACAAGCCTCTTTCCGGTCTTAGACCACATGTCTTTTTGGTAGCTAAGAAACATTCGTTTGGGGATGAGATGAAAAGAGAAGGCGAATCCCCTGTGGTACTTCTTACGATATAGGAACTATCATAGAAAACATATTCTGCAATAGCGAAATTTGAAAAAAGTCTCCAGAGACGACTATGATTAGAGAGTACTCAAGTGAGATCTGATTGCTTAATTGGTAAGAAGCCGCTGTGTAGAAATAAAGGCTAGCATCAGCGGCGTCCAAAAAGTGCGACGGGCGGGAAAATAGTGGAATAAGGAAGCTTACTACAATGGCCATAAAGAAATGGAGGGCGGCAGAGAGCGGTAGACGAACGTCTCATCATAATTGAAGTAAAAGCGAAATAGATATTCCTCAACTTTCGCTAAGTTGCACCTATGCTCTGAAGATAGAGTAGGACTATGTGACCAATTATGTGTCTTCTGAGTGTCAGGAATTATTATAGAAAGTCCTTTCGGACTTACAGGTGGGAAGTTCGGGATTCATGATTAAACATTTCTTAATTTACTGAATTTGAACAGGAGGATCCGAGATAATATTTGTCTCAGATTCCAGCATTCATCAAGTTGCATGCCTAACTCCAAATCGAAAAGCCTGTAGTGTTTTGAATATGTATACGCTCTGGAGTTCTAATACCAACTCGAAAAACTATCTTAGGGCTGTAAAGGTACGCTTTTAGACAATCTGCGCTCTGAGAGAACTTATCAGTAATTCAGTATAAGCGAGCTGTAGATTGTATATGTAAGCTTTCTATAAGTTGTCGCCGGAGAAACTATTGGTTTTCGGCAATATCGGAGAAAAAACTGATACGTTGAGGTGTGTTGAGCTACGGTAAAAGGACAAAATACTGTCTCTCTTGAAACATTGAGATCAATCGCAGCGAGGAAATTATCGCAAAAATATCGAGAGTTGAAGAGAGAAGCGAGTGTGAAAATGTGAGAGGCCGATATGTGAGTTTGCGAAAAACTTGACCGCTGCGACAACCAGACACCAGTTGTTGCATCAGTCACATTACGATGCCATGCATGACTCATAAAAGTGACTGATGTTTTTTGGCTTGCGCTTATTCTTACCCTCTTTATTGTATTGGGCAAGAAAATTAATGCACAATTTTCGGGGTATCGTCTAAATCGTTTCGCTTTTGAAGTTCCTTAAATACTTTACTCATAACCATTTAAAGTTTCTCGCACATTTTCTGTCTCTTCAGGCATTTTCCTAATATTCGAGAGCAAATTGTGTACCTTAATGCGCACATATGTACATACATATGTACGCATGTAAATTAATGCGCATTTACAATAGGCGAAATAAACTTTTAGTCAAAATACATACAGACATACACACAGATATTACACAATCAAAGAATTTCATTAAAATATTTACATACTTTAAATGTGCGTATTTTACTCGAAACGTAGAATTTTTTTTTATTAATTAAATGACGCAGTTTATGGATTGTAGAATATTCATAAGTTTATTCTTGTTAAACAAGCTGTTTATGGTATACAACATATACGTGGTATATGTAAGTTGATTAATTGAAAATGCATTTTCGACTTATGTAGAATATGCTAATCACGGCAAATGTTTTGCGGAAAACTCAGTTTGTAAACAAAGACAGGGTTTTAAGAAAAAAAAAAACATTTTAAAAATTAAAGAAAGAATTTAAAGCAGAACTGCTTTGTGGTTTGCTAAAGTAAAAAGAAAAAATACTTTAAACATTTTATAAATTGAAAAGTTGAATTTCTCATGTATTTTTAATATTTCACTAAATATTTTTTTTGAATTTATAATTTCTCAACATTCAAAAAAATTGATAAAAAGGTTTTATACACTAATTTGGGCAGAAATGACCACAAAAAATATATACCATTTTTTTTGAATATATTTGTTTTAATATAATTAATAAAATAATTTAAGCAAAAAAGACAAAAAAAATTAAAAATAATTTTTCACACGAATACCTTTTTTATACAAAGTTTTTCGTTCAATACACATAAATTTATTTATTTTTATAAATATTTTTTTTTTGATATAAATAAATATTTGTTTGTTTGCAAATGAGCAAAATTTTTCACAAAAATATGGAAGTATACCCAAAATTAAGCGGCATCAGACACAAATGAATGAAATTTATCGAAAAAAAAATATTAAAAAAAAAGAAAAAAATATAAATAAACCCATTTTGGCACGCAGATATAAATCTGTAAATTATTGCTGCTGTGCCATATTCCCCATTTCAATGTCACGTCTCACGAGAATTAACCTTCACCGAATGCCAGCGGCAGTTTCCGACGCACCGCAATTAAATTAAAAAAAAAATATAATAATGGAAATAAAAGGTAATGAGCGTAAAAAATAGTAAAAAAATAAACAAGAAAAAAATAAAAACTGAGTAATAAAATCAAAACACCCACGCAGTACTGAATTAGTGTGCGAAAGTCAAGGTATTGAAGATGTAAACGGAAATCAAAAATTAAGCAAACACTTTTTTTTTGCTTGAAACTGCAAATGTGCTTGCCAAAGAAAGTAAAAAAGGGCTACTAAAAAAATTATAATTAATTTCATGCAATAATTAGTAACAAATTTTTTTTTGCACTTTCAAAATTAAAAGATTCTTTAAAAAAAAGCAAAAAAAAAAAAATAAAAAAAATCTTAGGAATAGTAGTTTTTTAACAGAAAATATTACAATAAATAAAATAATCATTATTACAAAATATAAGCAATTAAATAATAAATAAATATAATAATAATAAATTAATGTTCTCTTTTTAATTTCCAATTTTCTTCTTTTATTTACTTTTTATATTTTGAAATTTTTATAACGTCACGTTTCAAATGTTTTTGCTTAAAACTTTCCATTTGATTTCTTTGCGCTGATCTGACCTTTAAATGGCGTAAATTAAATTACGTGATTTATTTTTGAATCAAACAAGTTAAACCGAAGGCTGTGAGTTAAAAAGAAAAACATATTAATAAGAATTTTTTTTATTAAAGAGGTCAGAAATTTGTATTTCTGCAATTTTGGCATGATTTCAGTGAGGGTTTTTGCTTTCTTTTTCATATGAAGATACCATTAGAAAACAAATTTTCGTCATATTAAGATATTCCGCAATTCACATTGTTTATGGGTTATAAGACACTATCGAAAAATGTAATAATTTTGCCGAATGTTGGAAGAAATGTACTTTGGCGGAAACTTTACTTTCGAGTTTTAAGGAAAAACAGTAAATTTGAGATTTCGAAAAATTATTTACAATCATTATTATATAAATAAAATGGCAAAAAACTGCCAATTCTTATTCTTTATTGTTGATTATAGCCGAATCAACAAGCTCGCACCATTCCTTCCTTCTCTTCGGCGCTTGGCATCAGTTGGAGATACCAAGTTAAACCAGGTTACTCTGCTCCGTGATCCTGTTCCACTGCTTTTATTAACTGCCGCATTCTAATTAATAGAAATTATTGCATAAAATGGATTTCTTAAATGGAAATAATTTGTTATTTTCACAAAACATGGTTTGAGTCAATATTTTGGAAAACTTCACAGATCTCTTTGGTTTTTCATGTTCTTCCAAATAGTTTTCACACCATATTCTGGCAGGTTTACATTTTGCTGTTTATTTTGGATTATATCTTCATTTTATATTTAATTCTATTTGTTAATCTAATAGCCTATTTCCACCGGACGTTAAATGCATTTTAGCTTAAATGTATTTAAACATCGCATTTAAATGCGGTAATTCTCATGTGTTTATTATTTTCGGCATTTAGCAGAAAATGTTATGTTAACATTCGATGCTGTCACTAATAATGTAATCATTTCGGAAGTTTCGGTGTACTTCTTGCCAGAGTCGTGTATTTTCGGATTTAATGAGGGGCGAGACTTTTATTTTGCATGGTGAAATTTTTTGTATAAAAATTCCTTTTTTGCATTAGTTTTAACATAAATGCCTATATTAAGTAATTGGCGAAGATAATGCTTCTCCGCCTTCAAAAAAAAAAAACTATAAGAAACAAACAAAAACAATTGTGAAATATCAAACGATCCCCTCAACATAAAAATATACGTGGCTCTGGTAACTAGCAGCTGATTGCGCAAAATAAATAATTTGAGGGAACAAACAAACAAATATGAAAATGGAAACATGCATAAAAGCATATTCGTTTCAGCAACGTTTGTCCGTGCAGAAATAATCTGCACTTGCAAGTCTTAAGATTGCAGAAATAGCCAAATAAAATGAATGCGGTATCTTGAATTCATGATTTCTATAGTTGTGGCAAATTTTGTAAACTGCAAATGTAAACAAAAATCAGCTGTTTGAGTTAACTCACTTTCGGTGGAAACGTTTGACATTTCATTTACTTAACAGAGGCCTTAAGTGCATTTAAGTGCTTGGTGGAAATAGGCTATAAGGTTCGGTTAAGCTCGGTTAGAATAGGTAGAAGTCGCTGATCCCTTGGTAAGGTAAAGCTGAAGTGAAATCACCAGTAAATAAAGGCTTTAATTTTTCT